TTACGACTTCGCTTCAGACCTAGCTATTGGCTTCGCTACTTAATTTCAAATGGGAATGGCTGGAATTACAGTATATTATTTTGGTGTTGTTTCCCAGGATTTCTTTTGTAGTTTCAATATTGTGCGTGCGTTCTAAATGTGTTCTTATAGAACCTTCCCTTTTGTGCATAGTCAGTTGTCTGGTTGGCGATGTTGTAGTTACTCCGACATATAAAACATTCTGACGTGCACAGCCGTCAAGGGGACATGTAAATTCATATATCAAATGGCTACGTTTTAAAGCCGAACCAAGATGAGAAGTGCAGTTATTATTCATGACAAGGTTTGATGTCTTTGCATTACTATGATAAATTCGTAGTTTTATTTTGTCGGAAAAGTTAGTAGGTATGACATTTTTATAAATGATTTGTTTTAAGACGGATTCGTCCGATTTGTAATTGGTGTTCATATGATTCTTATAATAGAAGATGATGTCTGTGTTTGGATTATTATGCTGTGGGCTGTTAATTTGATGTAATAAATTTTAATTATTTCCTCGATCATTGCTTTGCAGTATCCATTGTTTACCAGAAGATTCATGATTTATTTCAATTCTATATCACATTTTTCTGTTGATGATAAGTGATATCTACGACCAGCGGAAAAAACTTAACAAGCGAACAAGAACATGAGCAACGAATGCTCCATCTTTTTCGTGAGTTTTAATAGAAAAAAAATTTAGTCACCAAGTTGTCTCAAAAACTAAAGAATTATAAAAAAATCTGTGGATAGAAAGTAATATCGATGATAACATTAAACAACAACAACATAACATTAAACAAGATATCACCAACAGCTATTAAATTTGAACAGTCACATGAAATTGACCACTCTTATTAAGAAAGGTAATAATGATCTGATGGGTGACAAATTTATTAACTTAAGCCGACGCACCCTGAGAAGCAAAAAGAATTTTCAAACATCACAACATAAAGAAATCAATAAATATTGAGAAATCAATCGAAACTGAAAAGTTAATGAGTATAATAGATACTGAACGTAGAGGACAGATAATAACCAACCCCTCAATAGCGATTGAACTGCAGGCTGAAGCTAAAAAGCAACGAGGAAGATGATTTGTGAAAAATCGAAATAAAGCCTTACCTGCATGATGAATTTGGAAACAACAGTTTGACTAAACTTTCATGATGAATGACCCTGGATAATAATTCTATTTACAATAAATTGAACAATTTCAGGAAAATTCTAGTAGGGAAAATTGAAAGACAAACTTTAAATTGATTACTGCCATGAATCATTATCAACAACACAAACAATAGTTTCAAGAACATCTTTATAATCCCAGTGAAACTTGGCACATTCTCAAATATTATTTTAAAATCATCATCAGTCATTAATATGATTCATCATTAACATCATCATCGCCATCATCATAATTAACCAATAGTCATCATCATCATCACATCCATCATAATCATCATCATTATTATTATTATCATTACTATTATTTAAAGTTTTTATCATGTCATCATTTTTATCATCATTCCAAAGTTCATCTTCTCATTTCCATTCCCCCATCACTCATCAGCACAATATTCACACATCATCACATCTATGTATGTATGTATATCAGTATGTATGTGTTTGTGCGTGTGCGTGCGCGCGTGCCTGGGTGTATGTTTGAGTATATGCATATGTGTGTTTATAATATTATTTGTACTTCTTGTTGCATTAATATTATTTGTCACAAGTGTACTTATATATTTATATATTCACACAAACATATACCTAGACACATTAATGAATATATAAATACATATATTTATACATACATATACAATAAGTACATACATACAGACATATATACACATATATATACAAAAGAATGCATACATACACACGCAGGCGCGTGCGAACACACAAGCACACAGTCACACACACATACAGATACATACAACATACACACATGCATACATGCATACATACATACATAGTACATAAATACACACACACACACACACACATATATATATATATATATATATATATATATATATATATATATATATATATGTATACATACATGCTTACAATACAGAAAGTACATGACATGTAAATAAAACCTTGAAACAATTTAAAAATTGAAGTTTTCCAATTTTCTTTTTTTTTCGCATTTGCTTTGTCTCTTTTTCTTTCTCTCTCTCTCTTAAGTTCACACTTTTTTTCCGTTTTTGACACTTTCATCTCTTTATAACTTTATTAACAATTTCCTTTTATTCTATATTATATCTCTATTTATTCAACCCTCTCTTTTTTTTCTATCATCTCTCTCTCTCTCTCCTTTTCTCTTATCTTTTCATACTTTTTCATTTTGTTTCCCCTTTTTCTTTTTTTTAATTCTTGTTCTCTCCATCTGTTTTTCTGATTTCCAAATTTTCTAACTATAAGTTTCATACTCTCTTTCTCTCTCTTTCTCACTCTCACTCTCTCTCTCTCTTTCTCTCTAATCTAATATATAATTTATTATTTATTTATCATTCATTAATTTCATTATTACCTTATTTTAACCATCATAGACAATATAATATTTTATATTATAATCGTTATCACCATCCTCAAATAATTAACAGTTTATTGTAAACTAAATTGATTACAATTGTTATCTGAAAATAATGTTTATTATTACAAATGTTATGACAGCAATTTGTTGTATATTAATTGATACTATAATAATACTTAGAGTAGTGTGTGTGTGTGTTTGTGTGCGTGTGTGTACAAGTATGTGTTTGTACAAGTTTGTGTGTGTATAAGTGTGTGTCTGTGTGTGTATGAGAGATGCATATTTTTACATTATTATTAGGGATGTACTTTATAGTATATAGTCAAAAAAGTGAAATTAGATAGATCGATTAGATAGAAACTTGTAGTTCATACAAAACTTGAATATTTATTTTGGAAAAACAAAACATATAACTTTGCTAAAAAAGCATTTTAGTATTAATATAAAAATTATGAAACTATAAATAAATAATTAATTAATTATTAATTTATTTCTATAGGATTAAGTTAATTCAATTTTCAATTTAAATAAAAAAACCAAATTAAAAAATTAAAAAAGATATTTTTTATTTTAATCAATATCAATTAAATTAACTAAAACGTTAACAAGAATAATCTAGTTTATATTTATTTAATTTATGAATAAATCATTTTTTTATAAATTTCAATTTTTAAAAGAAGACTAACTAAACTAAATCATGGACAAATAACAAATCTGATTCAGATTCACAAACAAAAATTAAATTATTTAATAATTCAATTTTTAATTTATTAAATGTTAACATTAAAAATTTAATTTAAAAACGAAATTTTAAACAAACACACACTTATATACACACAAAATGAAAAAACCCTAAACTGGCCCAGAGGCTTAATTAAATAAGATTCTTAAGAAGTAACAAAATCTAAATCTAAAAAATTCACCAAAACAAAAAAATTTCCAACCTGTTGAAAATTTCTGAACACGAACTATCGAGAACGCAACCCCACTCACACTAATTCAAATCTGCCTAACTAAAATTGAAAAATTAGGGAAAAATACTCTTCATGTAGGTAGGCAATTTAATAATAATGTTAATAACATGGCATTTAAAAATGAACTTTTAAATAACACTGATAAGCTGAAAATAAACAAAAAAGCCTGTATAAAGCAAGATTTAAAAATTTCTAAATTTATATAGTAGGCTGTAGTATATAAATATAGATATATATATATATAAAACACTCGTTTATATAGAATTAAAGTTATATATATATATAATATTAAAATATTTATATATATATATACATTATTATATTATATTATATATTATTATATATTACTTTATATTTATGTGTATATCTATATAAATATATATATATATATCACTCATTCTGTGTTAAAATTGTTTTTTTCAAATGTTTTTGCACTAGGGGAGGCCTAATTTACCAATATACAACACTTATGAGTTGAAGCAGGGATAATTTTTCAACTTTTGTCTTTTTTCGGTAATGTCAATTTTATTTTTTTAAATTTATACCAAATTAAAGTAATAAATTACCACATTGAATAACAATTTAAAAAAAAAATAAAATATTAACATTTTAAATAAAAGCAATATTCCGTAATTTGTAAATATACGATCGTAACTTTTGACTCGAACGATAAAAAATCACCCTCCAACTCCCCTCCGGAAGTAAGCTCCTTGTTTGACCCTTAAAAGTGAGCGAAGGCCGTTATATTTATTCTAGTAATATGTTTTTGCATGCCGTAACAGTTTCTGCGTCTGTCTGCTACATCTTTCATTTTAATATTACTGATTCTTGTCTATCTTGGTTTTCTTCTTATCTCTGTAATCGTTTTTCTTCTGTTGTTCTCAATAATTCTACTTCTAACTCCTCTACTCTTACTTTCGGGGTACCTCAGGGTTCTATTCTTGGCCCTTTTCTATTTATACTCTATACCTCTGAACTACCTCGTGTTATTATTAATAACTTTTCTTTCTCTAGTCAACTATATGCTGATGATTCTTTTTTTCCTCCATCTAATCTCAATAGTGTTCTTCATAATTTATCTCTATGTCTTTCTTCAATTATCGCTTGGTCTGACTCTATGTGTCTTAAACTTAATCCTTCTAAGTTTGAATTAATTTGTTTTAATAAATCTAAACACCCTATTACTATTCCTCCTATTATCTTACCTGATTCTAAAACTCTTGATGTCTCTCATAAGTTTCGTAGTCTAGGTTTTATCTTTGATTCTACTATGTCTCTCTTTTCTCAGATTAATAGTGTTGCTAGAAGCTCTTACTTTCATCTACGTAGAATAAAAAAACTTTTGCCTTTTCTTGATGATCCTACTCTTCTCCTTGTTACTTCGTTAGTTTTATCTAGAATTGATTATTGTAACTCGCTTTACTATGGTCTTCCTGACTCTATACTCTATCCTTTAAGTAAAGCTTTTAACTCTGCTGCTCGTCTAGTTGCTCGTGCCCCTTTCTTTTCTCATATATCTCCATATCTTGTTCTCTTGCACTGGCTACCTATAAAATATAAAATAATTTTTAAAATTTGCACGTTTAAGTATAAGTCTCAATCTAAATTATTTCCTAAGCATTTATCAGATATATTAATTGAACCCAAACGCCCCGGTTTACGATCGTCTTCTTGTTCTCGCTTTTTCTTAACTCGTGTTAAACACTCTTGTGCCAAATCTACTTTTGCTTTTTCTGGTTTTTTTCTCTGGAACTCTCTACCTACTTCTCTGACTACTTCTCCATCACTTGCGAAGTTCAGAGCGGATCTCAAGACCCATCTCTTTTCAAAATTTATTGAGGAACGCTGATGAACATCGCGGATATAGCGCTTTATAAGCTAATTGATTGATTGATTGATTGATTGATTGATTGATTGATTGATTGATTGATTGATTGATTGATTGTTTGATTGATTGGTTGGTTGGATGATTGATTGATTGATTGGTTGATTGATTGATTGATTGATTGATTGATTGATTGATTGATTGATTGATTGATTGATTGATTGATTGATTGATTGATTGATTGATTGATTGATTGATTGATTGATTGATTGATTGATTGATTGATTGATTGATTGATTGATTGATTGATTGATTGATTGATTGATTGATTGATTGATTGATTGATTGATTGATTGATTGATTGATTGATTGATTGATTGATTGATTGATTGATTGATTGATTGATTGTGAGATCCTGGTTCTTAAAGAATAATAAAAAAAATAACGAGATTTAAATTTCTATTCATAATTCATGCATACATCAACATTAACTTTTAGTATATAACATTTTAACGCTTAAAAAAGCAAAAATTTATAAAGTTATATACATAAAGTGATTAATATACATAGAACTTTTGAAGTGAAAACGGCCCTACAGGATGGCACGCTTAAGAGAATCAAAAAATTTGTGGCACTTCAAGGCAAGAGGTAGAGAAGGAAATATTATATGACATTATGTTTCTCTTTGTTCATTTTTAATTTCTGTCGTGAATTAACACAAATTTTAACATATTTTTATTTGAATAAGTTTAAAAATCTTATGTGATCAATATTTTTTTTGTTGAATTTTGACTCGGTATTTGTGATATTGATAATTTACATAAAATTTTTCAACCAGTAAGCTTCAAGAGGGGGATCAAAAGATTGTGACATGCTTTAAAAGGAGGAGTTTGAAAGTTTATGATAGTTTCAGTTTGTTACCATTTTTTATGGACCATAACTTTTTTATTTTTTGGTATATGTCCAAATTATAAACACACAGGATAGGTGTAGGATACATTTGATGACAAATTACATTGAAAATGGTAAAGGATAACCGAAAAAAACTTTTGATGTATAAGAGAAAATGAACAGATGAACATGAAAACTTTGTTTTCTATATAAATAAGTTAAAAAACAAAGATAAAAATACGGTACGAAATATTGAAAAACGGAACCAGAGACTAATCAAAACTGAAAATTCTGTGATATTTTATAATTGCACGTATGACAATCTCAACCCTAATTATATATATATGTATATAAATTGATGGCAAAGAAAACAACGTCCTATTGTTGTTGTTGTGTTCTCCACCGATACGGCGAGGATGTTGCCTAGGGTGTCCATAATCATAAATTAGAAAAAGAGGACAACGGACTAAAAAAAAGTAGATTTTCGACAAAAAAGAGGACAAAGAAAACAATTTTTTTTAAAAACAATTTTCTTCGATAAATGTCACCATGTACATACAAATTAAAAATGGAATTAAATACTGTTATTTTGATTAATATACTTAACAGTAATAATTAAATAACGTTGATTTATTGTTATCTATTTATATTTTTATTCATGGTACTTATCCGAGTTTGACAATTCATTACATTTTTCATTACAATTTCCTCGGATTTTTTCACTTTCTTGTAAAAACATTGCACGATACTATTTTGTAATTATAGTTTATTATTGCTAATGATTCGACGGTTAAAAGTTTTAAGTGGTTGCGCTCGTCCGCCCATTGAGATTCCAATAAAGAAAATACTCTTTCAGTGCTTGCATTATGTCCTGGGATGGCGAAGAAAAACGAACAAATTTTTTTCAGTTCTGAACAAAATTCTTCATTTTGTTTTTTATTAAAATATTGTACCCACTTGGAAACGCAAAGGAAGTCTGAAGAGAAAATGTCATTTTTCTAAAATGCTCTCAAATTATGAAATTGGTCAAAACATTTGTTTTTGTCCAAAACAACTTTTTATGAATTTAAGAAAATCAGTGTGTTTTCAACATCACACCATTGTGGCTCATTTTTCAACAGCATCCACTTAAATTTTTTAAAATGATCAAATTGAAATGTCCATTTTTCAATATAGAGCAATGAATTTGAATAAGTATCTAATACATTACTTTTAAAATGTTCAGATTCTTTTTCAAATCCTTCATAATCATTATTGAGTTTTTCTAAACCGTTTTTTATGTCAAGTGACAAAAACTGACTATCAATTCTATTCTCCAACATTTCTTTCAAGTTTGAAAGTAAATTAATTACTTTAAAAATGGAATTTTCTTCTTCCTCCAAACTAGCATTTGTTTGATGAAAAACTTGAATAAAGTATTGCACAAATTTCAAATAAAAAATAGTAAAATCAGATTCATATTTATCTTTAAAAAATTTGCGACATTTGTCTTGGTAAAGGAAATAATTTCTAAAATACGGCAAACTGCTGGATACATTGATAACCATCTTGTATTGCCATGGCGAGGTAAAATTTTATATTCAACTTTGGTATATAGACAAAAATCTTTCAACTGTTCCGTTCTGATTGTGTAAACAAAAAAATAATTATAAACTTTGTATATGAAAGTTTCAATATCGAAGTCTAAGGAATCTATGCTTTGCGCAATTATGGCAAATATGAACACTACAACCGATTCCTTCTATGACACAGTTTAAATCATTTTTTAAAATGGCGAAAACATTTTGTGTTGATTTACGGTTAATGTCCCAAAAATTTGTGTTACAATTATCACCAGAAAAGGCATTACATTTTTCTTTCAAATTAAACTTTTCTAACTGCTCTATCAAAGAATTTAAAATTGTTGCAGCTTTTTCATCAAAAGTTTAGTAACAATACCTTGTTCTGGCAAAAAATATTGAATCAAAAATGGAAACAACTTTTCGGCGTTGTGGTTACTACCACCTGTGGAAATCGACACAAATTGAACGGCTTTTAAACTTTCTAAAATTTCTTCCACACAAAATTTTGCTATCACATTTCTTATTATTGCACTTGTTTTGGTTTTTGCCGAGGAAATGTTTCGAGCAGTTTGTGAATCATTGAAGACTTCTGAAATCAATTTCGTTGTGCAATCAGTTGAACGAAAACTTTGATGTTTCACAGTGTGAAATGCGAAAACACACTCTCTTGTCCAAATCAGAAAATTAACTGATCACAAAATTTTCTATCGGCGATGAAATTTCACCTGATCTCACGAAATGTTTATGTTTTTTACTATCTAAATGCTGTTCAATATCAAATTTTCCTTTGTTAGCTTTGTTCCTTTGAGTTACATGCCGTACATAGCACTTCCAATAAATTATTTTGGTTAATTATCTTCATAAATTTATATTTATTTTTAAGTTTTTCATTAAAAATACATTTTTTTGGCATTTTAAAAGTTAATATAAACAAAAAATATTAAAATTGTTCTTGTTAAATTTGAACTAAAATAAACTAGCTTTATCATAAAGCAAACATGCAACAAATAATGAATAAAATTGAAATTATAGAATTTTTTCAAAAATCTCTATGGAAACAAACTCAAAAGGTTTACTCACGTTTGCCGCTTCTGCAAAAGAAGCGCTGTACAATTTCATAATAAAATTTTAATTTTTAAATTTCTGACATTTTTCATAATAAATTTTTACAAATGAAAACATTTAATTAAAAAATTATAAGAATATATATTCATTTTGGATAACATTAAAAAAGAGGACAAAAGAGAACGTTTGCAAAAAAAGAAAGAGTAAAAAGAATTCAATGTAAAAAGAGGACATGTCCTCATATTATTATATATATCCATGCATGTCCTCTTTATAATAGATGTTATGGACACCGTTGCCTCGTTGGACTAGTTGGTTTCAATTCCCATAATGTTGCTGCATGACGGTAAGAGGCATTGTCCATTCTAACATGAAACTTGTGAGACCAGCTTTAAAAATCCTTTTCTATATAAACCGATCTTTCGCTATTTTTTCAAGTCCAGCTGAGTTGATGTAACATTTCTGAAGTTCGATTTTCATTTAATCCACGAATCGCTTCTTTTGCCGACCGACTGAACGACAGCCATTTGATAGTTTTCTGTATAACAATCTACGAGGTACACGAGACTTTGCTATACGAATAACATGACCTAGCCAGCGTAGCTTTTGTTGTAACAATAGATATTCATCCGTTGTAGTACATGCAATCCTAAACAATCTGTGAAGGGTATTTTGTACTTGCACCACCATCATATTCCAAGAATGCTGCGGAGACAGCAAACATGGGAGACCTTGAGGGCTCAGATGTGTCGACGATAAGGAGTCCAGGTTTCACAACCGTAAAGTAGTGCAGAAATGCAAACAGCTTTGTACACAGAAATCTTTGTCACCACGGTAAGATTGCGATTTAAAAAGACGCCAAGTGCAGCCGACCCCACCCTAATGTGATGCTCAGTTTCACGATCCAGACAGCAGTCAGCACTAAGTATACTACCAAGATACATAAATTCATCCAAATCATTGAGAGCATCTCTATGAACTACAAAAGGTGTAGCTGGTTTGTTTTGATTTGTAGCGAAAGAGTACTTCGGTTTTTGCAGTGTTGACAACATATCCTACACGACTATAGGCACACAACAAGACATTAAGACTATTTTAGAGAGCGGAGATGGTGTTGGCAGGAATGACAGCGTCGTCAGCGTATTGGAATTCGAAAATCCTATCGTGTAATACTTTGCTTTCCGTCTTGAGTCGTTGTATGTTAAAGAAACGAGAAACGAAACGGAGTAACGAAACGGGTGACTACGTCAGACGGAAAACCATCGCGATGGATGAAAACAGTGGCAATGAGATACAGATTAAAAATTACAGGAGCCAGAACGCAGCCCCGTTTTACTCCCACCAAAACATCAAACGGCTTAGATTTCTTACCACCAAAAATGACTTTAGCCCTCACACCTGTATGAAATTCACGCAGTATTATCAGAAATTTTGGCGGGCAGCCAATTCTACCCAGGATCATTCACAACAAATCTCTGTTGATCGTGTCGAAAGCCTTCGTCAAATTGATGAAAGCCAGGAAAAGTTCCTGGTTCTGTTCACGGCACTTTTCCATCAAGAGGAGTACAACAAAAGTCATATCGGTTGTGCTATGACCGCTTCGAAAGCCACATTGCGTTTCTGGAATGACAATATTAACCATGTGTTTTTGATATCGTTTCAGCAAAAATCGCAAATCTAAGTGCGTTTATAATTTAGCTAAATTGTTTGAAACTCGTTCGTTCTTTCATTCATTTATTCATTCACATTCTTTCACATCATTTATTCACTCATTCAACCATTCATTCATTCGCTCATTCATCTATCGTTAGTGCGTTAATTAAGTAATTATTTGATTGATTATTTAATTGATTAATTAACTGATTAATTCATTCATTCATTCACTGTGCTTATTGTATACACTGCAGAAAAGCCTCTAACACCCATCCATCAATCCATTCATTCATTCATACTTACATTCATTTAATCATTTTTTACTCATTAATGTGACGAACAACTGCGACATGCCTTGCATGGGTGATTTTAAAATTTGTTAGTTTTTAAGACGTGTAGGGAGAATTTAAAAAAAAAGTAAAAAACGTGACATGAGCATTCAATGGCGGATCTAGACAATGTTGACGGGTTGGGCCAAAATATGAAAAAATTTGAAATTATTTTAAATTTGAAGGGGTGCCAAGAAATCCACCAAATATATATATTTAGTGTGGCCCAAATTAGGCTGGCAAATATTTTTTCTCATCACGCAAGTTGTTGGTGCATTTTATACTTAAGAACGATGTTTTCTTGTCTAAAAACTAAGTCTTACTGATTTATGAATTTTTTTAAAGGCCTAATAAGGGCCAGCCAAAATCATATGAGAATGCTGATAGATTGCTTGCCTAGCTTTAGCTAAGCAAGGCTACTTAATTTTAAATGTTCAACAGCGCTCCTCAGTTAATTTTTTGAACATGAGATCCGCCCTGAACTACGTAAGTGATGGAGAATTAGTTAGAGAAGAAGGTAGAGACTTCCAGAGAAAATGGTCAGAAAAAGCAAACGCAGATTTAGCGTAAGAACTTATAACCGCCGCTTCATATAACAACGTAACGTGAGGTAACGTGACGTAACACAGCAAACACAGAAAAATAATTTAAATAACAACACTGCTCTCAACGGCCCCTCTCTCCTTAGATCCGCCACTGGGCAGTACAGGATTGTAAAAGAAATGATTGTGGTTTTTGTAGGTTTTAAAAAACCAGTACAAATATCTTACCCAAGAAGAATTATCGCCAAATTATTCTAGGAGCAAATAATCATAAATTTTAATTCTTCGCACGGCAGTTTATATATATAAGTTTATATATATATATATGCAGATTTTTCTATAAAGAATGAATGGTTGTTTAAGATCTATTAAATTCTTTCAAGGTTCAGTTCAGAGGAATCAACAACACACAAACATGAATACATGCTAAACGGAGAATAATTCGAACCATTATACAGCTATTATACATTTTTATCATTTTATGACTATTGTAATACTTATCTCAAACTTATGTTGTTATGTCAGGTTGTGTTGAGTTGTGTTTTGTTATGCTGTGTCTTGCGTTGTGTTACGTCACCTCACGTTACGTTGTTATATAAAGGTTAAAAAGTTAAAGGTTACTTACTCTCTCTTTTGCTTTTGCTTCAGAGCTTTCAGCGACAAACACACACAGCGTATATGAATACGCGTGCAAACCACGCATCATACACATTGCATATGATAGGTGGGGATCTCTTTGCATTCTGGCCATTTTCTCTGGAAGTCTCAACCTCCTTCTCTAACTACTTCTCCATCACTTACTTAGTTTTGGGCGGATCTCATGACCCATCTGTTCAAAAAATTAACTGAGGAGCGCTGTTGAACATCGCAGAAATAGCGCTTCACAAACTAATTGATTGATTGATTGACTGACTGATTGATTGACTGATTGATTGACTGAGTGATTGATAATCGTTAAAAAATTTTCATTCTAAATTATTTCCTAAGTAATTATCATATATATTAATTAAACCTAAACGTCCCGGTTTACGATTGTCTTCTTGTTCTCACTTCTTAACTCGTGTTGAACACTCTTTTGCTAAATCTGCATTAGCTTTTACAGGCCCTTTTCTCTGAAACTCCCTACCTCCTTCTCTGACTACTCCATCACTTACGAAGTTCAGAGCGGATCTTAAGACCATCTGTTTGCAAAATTTACTGAAGAGCGCTGAGCATCGCGGAAATAGCGCTTTACAAACTAATTAATTGATTGACTGACTGATTGATTGATATTCGTAAGAACATTTTCATTCTATGCTTACATTAAAAAGTGAAGAAGATAAATAAATGAAAGTGGAGGCGGTGCTTTTGAATATGTCTCTTGCGTGCCAGCTTCACTGACTGGCAGGTCGTCAGGTTCGAACGAGTCAGGCAGGTGCCCCACTCTGCTGTTGCACTCGCATTGAGTGAAGCACCACTTTGCAACCGTCCGGTTCTATGTGCTTGTTAAAATTAATGAATTAATAATTTAATATTAATATTATTTTATAAAATATAAATAAATAATATAATACAATTTATTTAATAATTTACTGACGGTATTCAATTATTTAATACTGACGTTCCCCGCTATGACTACAACGAGTGAAAGTTAATTTTTTAAAGTTATTAATAAACTATTATTTTTATTTTATTAAATTAATGTTAATTAATAATTGTTAAATTAGTAATTAATTCATCAATTAAGCAACTATTTCATCAATAAAAAAATAAAATAATTACATTATGAAGGTAGGTGTTGTTGGAAGTCCTACTAACTAGATAGTTTGTATTAATGACCCCTAGTCTTTGATAATACAATATAATTAAATTTTAAAAAAGCATTAAAACAAATACTAAAACAACAAACTAAATAACAAACTGGTGAAATTTATTGAATAAATTTTATTATGTATGATGCTTTGCTAAGTAATAAAATAAAATAACATAACCCAAACATTTTCATAGACCGGGTTCAGTAATTTATAGTATTGAAAGGAAAGTTGACAATAAAATAGACCTTTTTCATTGCACTCTAATGTAAACTAACAAATAAATTTAGAGGTTTATTAATTTATATCAACATTTAAATAACTCTGGATCATTTTTTAATTCTTATAATCATTTCTTTATTTACAATAATATATTCCTCGTTATTTTTAGGCGGTGAATCAAAGTCTTCAAAAAAGAACAAGAAACGAAAGGAAAAGAAGTTGACAGAGTTGAAGGAAGAGCTTAGTAACAAGACCAAACTTCAGAATGAAGCTCTGGAGAGCTTGAAGGTGCAACTGCAAGAAGCTAAAGCAAATAAGGTTGATATATTTTTATTATTGTTGTTGTTATTATCATCATTAATTCAGTTTTAATTATTTTTCAGATTTTTTATTCTTTATAGTGCAGCTCCATGAAATGCAGAGGTGCTGATATGTTATTCTATGTTTGTAAACTATGCACAGCACTTGACTTATGCGTATGATCGTCTTTGAGTTTTGGACAGCATTCGAACAATGCCATCGCGTACTAATAGCAACATGAGACTTTGGCACTTTTGCCAACTGGCACACATACAACAACACGCTCACAGCCGATGTAAATGCAAGTAAATCATATGATGTTCATCAGTTGATCGTGTAAGCAGCTACGCAGAATAATAATAAGCATATTGTTTCATTATTTATACATGTTTCGGTGAGAGTAGTCATTGTTGGACGTGGAACCTTTATCAATAAACAAGATCTCCAATCCAGCAGTTGTGTTCCCATGACTTATTTAACTTGGTCTCTCACATTTTGAAAAAATGATTGTTCACATGTTGATAACGTGGCACTTGTTTGTTAATTTGGCAGAAGTATGCAGAGTCTCAGAAGATAAGAGAGGAAATATGGGTTCTTTCAGATGCCAAAGCTGGTGTCAGGTTCCAAATTTGATCAAACTTTTTTCTGGCCTTTTATTCTAATGTTGTTTCTTCTTTAGTTGTTTTTGTAGGTGTATTAAAATTCTTTGATTTCTGTATTAAATGATTCAAACAACACAACATTATTAGTGGACTCAAACCAAAGGTTCACATGCCCACATCTAATGAATATATAAAAATGTGTGCAAGTAACGAAATAAAAGTTGAGCAATGAACTTTGGAGCAGATGAAACGCTCATTGCACTGGCGAGTGTCTTCATGAGTGGTGACGGTATTCTCAACATTATGACCGCTCATTCAGCAGCTGTCTGAATTGATGGTTTGTGAATGAACCGCCCACCCCACCCATCCAACAACAGAACCAACATTCCGGAGGGAGAGCTTGCACGAATCATGTCATCCGTACACTGCAAGTTCCCTCAATTGAATGACAATGCAAATTCGCGTAGTAGCTCCAACGCCAGCGAGTCCACACCTCAAGTGCCCACCACCAGCACTCCAAACAACAAAGACCACGAACACACAAGCAAGACCGAGACGACGACGACGACGATGATGGTGGTGACTGGAAAAGAGGACAAGAAGATGAAGAAGTTGAGAGAAAAACTCGTTCAGATCGAAAGGCTCAAGAAACGGAGAGATAGAGGGGAAACATTGGAGTTGAATCAAGTGTGTGTTTGTGCGTGCGTGTGTGTGTGTATGTGTTCTTGTCTGTTTCCTTAAAATAATTTTTTTCTTGCTCCTTACACTCTTAACTCTGAATTCTGATAAAAAATCGGATCCTATCAGTTTCCTTATGTATGATTTTTTGAAAAATGAACCCGACCCAATCAACTGCGAGTTGGATCAGCCTGGAATGTTAACTGCTGTTAAATGATGATCCGTGATAAATACTTTTGAAACAACGTTGCCTGAAATCACTATTACCAGCTTAGTCCTGAGAAGTCATTTTACTTATAAGCAAATTTTGTATCCACCATTCCTTAATAAGTTCAATGCTCTGTTTGTTCCACTGCTTAGTTGTACTAATTTTCAACTTTATTTTTATTAGTTATTAATTACGAATTAAGTTTCTTTTTAAACGCTCATCCCACAACACAAACAACCAGCCGTTCATGGAAACTGACAAAAAATTAACATTTCAGATTGAAAAGATCAACAGTGAACCCTCCGTCATTCAAGAAATTAAGGATATTGAAGAAATCTTCGATAAAATGTCATGAAAATTAAATAACAATTATTCATTCACTTATGAATATTTACATTTCATTCTTTCATTCATACCGTCATTCGCACAATTCATTCATTCACTCTGTTCTAACTCATCCATCCATCATTTTGTAATCACGCCTCAGGAGTAAATGACACCAAAATATATTGAAGTGTTTTTATTCATTTTTTTCAAGCGAAATGTTTAGATGACGATAATGATGTCTATAAGGTTAATTAAACAAGATAGGTGATGACATCACCGCTGTTGTTGTTGTAATGATTATGTATATATATATATATATATATCTTATGTAAACAATGAAAGAAAGCAACGTAGCAGAAGAGAGAACTGTCAGATGAATCTCAACACAGTACTGTGTAATAAGACGACGGATGACCAGCACCAGGCCACCGACCACCTCACAGATTGGACCTATCATTGAAGGAGGGCATCTTCAGATGGTCTGGATCGGGCCTGCAGGGGTGTGGAGTTGAACATTCAACTCTCGATCTTTCTTAATTACGTACGGTGCTGTCGTGTTGTAACTCGCTGAAATGTGATGATTTTTCGCAAGGCAGACGTTCTGAGATATTCGCAAACACTCGATTCTATCACCAGCGGAGATGCGTGCAAAACAAACTACAGGACCACGCCATCAGGTCAGTTGCGAATGAATTCAATAATAATAATAAATGAGCAGTGGCTGGTTGTTACTGAAAACATCGAACATCACTTACTCCCACGTCCTTCGGGGGTCCTGCTGATTCGGACCAATGGGATCAAATCGGGCGCCGGGTGGCACTGAACCTCTGTGTGGATGAAGGAACGATACGTGGATGGAGTGGGTGGATGTATGTATGAATGGATTGCTGGATGTGTGTAGAGATAAGTGAATTGTAACTGCTATCACGTTCATTCAATAGCGAATAAAGATAAAATGTTGAGCAGATGGATGCATGCATCGATGGATGAACAACATATTGTAAACAACAAATGCCAACATGTGGTTGGTTAGTGAGGTGAGTGATGCAGGCACAAAGATTTATAATTAGTCCCACTGGGACGATCATTCAGCTGAACATTACATTAACAAAATAGTAAATTTTTCTGAATCCAACAACAGTCAAGAGTATCAACTAACAATGGAATTCTAGAGGGATCGTTATCGTTATCAGGACAAGGCCGTAAAAATGGAGGTGGTGGTGGTGGGTGCATAAAATTCCTGAGTGGGTCAAACAACATGCCACTAGCCCCCCCACTGGTGCACGGGCAGAGAGGGTCGAGGTCACACCTTCCACAAGGGAGGGACACAGCGGTGGCTGAGTTTGAAGGCCGAGACGTCGTTTGAGGTGTGCTGTTCAATGGCGAATGTGTTGTTAATGTTAATGATGAGATGATGGTGTTGTAGTTGATGTTATTGGTGGGATGATGGAGATGACGTTGTGGTTCGCGTCTGTTGTAATGTCTCGTTGTTCAATTCTTCGTAACACTACACAACAAGTATTATTCTTATTGTGAAATAACGTTTTAATATGCTATGTGGTTCAATCTGCTGTAGGCCATATGCAACATACAGCATTAACTACCATTCAATGAATTAATAAATCATCATCCACAGGGGAAGTTAGTGTTAAATGAGCCTAATGTTATGGAAACTTTTTTAAAATAATTTCGCATCATAATCAAATCGCGAACTAAATTATGTTAACTGGAATACACTCCATCAACATCTCACGAAGAATGGAGACCAGTTCTTTTTAATCAAGTCACATTGACTGACAGCCACGATAAATATAAAATAATATTCAAATAACCGAATTGACAATCTGGCACTCCCATCGGCCACTAACTTCCCCCTCCCCACTCTGCGATTGGACAACTCCAGTCATGGACCTTATCACTTCCTCTTCCTGCTTCACCAAGTTCTGCACGGCCACCTCCTTCTTCAGCGGCACGAGGCTCGGACGGATGAGCTGCGTGTCGATCACATCCAACAACGCGTTTGGTCGCTGGAACAAGCTGCATTGTGCAGAAGTTATGATGGCGATGATGGTTATAATAATATGGATGCTGATGATGATAGCGAAAATGATTGATGTACGATGATGCACTTATATGACGATGATAATACTAATGTGATGGGTGTGCCAACTGATGCAACTGACAAAACGTGCTCCAATGATTTTTCACTCTTACTACCAGTGCCACCAGATTGTAATGTGAAAATAAATTAGTCTGAAGAATATGAATGAGATGCCTCCAACTTAACGAGCAGACATTCCTGCTGGCACACAGCTTGCCTTACATCACCTACCTTGCATCGAACCAAACATTTCACAGTAACTTCATTCAACTGTTTACCATCAAGCAGGTTAATTGCAGCAATGGTGATGATGATAGTGGTGATTACAATAATTACAACAATCATTCAACTGTTGACGACCAGCCAATCAATCAACAACTTTCAAAGAAGAAACTATCAAGATGGAACTCTCAATGAGAAAATGAACAAAAGTTGCACACAAAAAGTCATTCAAATAAGATATTTATTCAATGTAAGTTCAGCTAGATCAATCATTAAGTAAAAAATTGAAGAAATAAAAATAATAATTCTTGACCCCAGTGACATAACAGACACATGCATTCCAAACAGCGTGCAAGAAGAACAACATCCCACATAAAACATGATCAGAGGAACCTCTGAAATGACGAGAAGTCATCACTGAAGTACACACTGTACTGCACATCCATGTCCTTCATTGATACATTCTCATTCTTCTGACAGCGCCACATGTTAAATAATTTTTAGAACTTAGAGGTCGGTGCACACATATTTACATTTTTCACCAAATCTCTCTACAATCAACCAAACAATAAACGTTCTTTTGTCCTCTAACCATTAATTGTTTGAAGTAGTCAATCATTAAGTCAATCATGACTGATTTTGTCAGTCATCAATTCATCTATCATAAATAATAAATATTCTCACCATCATCTGAACCAACCATCAATCCGTCATCAACCAATCAGTCATCAGTGAGAGGACCAACCCTAACCCATCATCAATTTGTCAATAAAGTTTTTAGAATCAAAAAGATAACAACTATCAATCAGCCGTCTATATTCGTAAATCAATCAATCAAACATCAATTAATCTATCTATCAATCAATTAACCATCAACCAGTTATCAGCCAGCCACCAATCATCAATCAACCACCAATCAACTAGCTAGCCACCAGCTAGTTACCAACAAGCCAGCCAGCCAACTATCAATCAATCACACACCCAACAATCAATTAATGAAGCAACCAACCAGAAGATGCACAAGAGCAAACTCCTTCATATGAAAGATCTTGAGGAAGAGATAGAACTCCAGTGATGGACTCCAATAGACCAGAGAGCATTTGTACGTGTTTTCATTCCAGGATGGTGGCAACAAATCAGTCAGACGAGTGTCAACTTTCTCGGGGGGCTGGTGTAGGAATGGCAGTGCGGGGATGTGGTGTTATGTGTAGAGGAATTTAATAAGATAACTTTATTTTTCAATTAATAAATCAAGTTAAAACACCGATAAAATTGGAAAGTGGCAGCCTTCTGCACCTGTCCTGTTTATTTGGGATTCGTTTCATTAACATTTATGAGCTCCCTACTGACACACATACAAATGTCATCATTTATCAATATATAAAGTCATAGAGTGTAATCAAACTATGTACAGATAACTGACAAGATTATTCAATTAAGAATAAGCCATCAGGCTTCTCCGATGGATTGTTTATAAGGACTTAATCAAAATTGTATCATTCACCCAAACAAACCCAACCGAAAAATGAATGTTAGCTATTAGGACTCAGTCCACGTTTTAACAAAGCATAACAATAAATAATAAATATATGTACACTTTAACAAAGTGTGGTAAACTTTAAATACATGTTGTTAAAAGTGAGTTAGTGGTTTTCAAAACAAAGTAATGGGTAAAACATTTTCAAATTAAATTAAAAATCAAAATTTTAAAGTATGAAAAAGGTGACTGGTGAGTTTTTCTATATTTTTTATATTCTAATAACTAATTCTTCCATACACCTACTACTTACAGCCTTTCTCACCTTTTATTTTACACATACATTTTTATTTTAGTTTAGCAGACTGTGGTTGCTTGTTTATTTTTATAGACAATGACAATTTACTTACAGTTTTACATTAAGAACCTCAAACTATTCGACCACACGACTTAAATACACCCCAACAGTCATCATCAATCACCTTCTCCCCGAGGGCCACACATTTGAAGCCATGTTGGATGAGCAGGTAGTGCACCGTGGCCACCGTCGCAGTGAAGTGCGAATTTATTTCGCTCTTAATGGCGTGATAAAGAATCTCAAGAGACATTTTTGATTTTTCTTTGTTAAAAGCAACGCAAAAGTTCAATTTAGAAAATGTAAATCTAACTTAGACAAATTATTTTAAATATTTTTGATTTTATTAAATTGTTATTGTTGTTTCGATTTGTTTTTTATTTAATTCAATTACGTAACTAATATTTGCGGTGGCACAAAAGTTCGATGTCTCGAATGCAGATAAGCAGGAAGTATCGAACGTCAAGCCAAACATCCAGCTCTGGGTCATCTATTTCTATTCTATATACACAAATATATGTAATAATAATATGATGGTCATTATTTATATCACACACACACACACACATATATATATATATATATATATATATATATATATATATATTTGTTGACCGCGATATATTCATTCATTTATTTATTTTATTATAGAGCACCAAATAAGTTTAAAATAAACTTGTAGAGAGGTCAACCTAAACTAAGTCATAAATAAACAAAAGTTCAAAAGTTAGAAATTGAGAAAATCCATTTCAGCGTTCAAATGCATTCAAATACTATATCAAAATTTTATAAAAATTTTAACTAGAATGAAATACATTTAGATAATACTTATGAAGTAGTCAAATAATCATTATAATAGCGGACAGACAAAAACACACACGCACCACACACACACACGCACAACACACCCATTCATATTTAAACAACAGCTATATATTAATGCAGTGGTTCTCAACCTGTGGTCCGTGGACCACTGGTGGTCCGCGGCCACCTGCTTGGTGGTCCGCAAGCAGAGTCTGAAATTGCGCTTTTTAAATTAAAAACATACAAAAACAAAAAACAAATATATATTTTTGTCTTTTTTTTAATTTCATTCAATTTCGATCGCTAGAATAGATGGCCGCAGGAAACTAATAATGACAAAATTTTCTTACTATTAATCTGGTTAATTTTGTTTGTTTTAATCGCTAGATAGCACTAAAATTGTTGCAACATATGAAATTCGTTTTAAATTATGTTTACTTTTAATCACACCACCGGAAATCTCACGTCTGCTTGTTGACATTTTAGCATTTCAAGTATTTCAAGTTTAAATTTTGAAGACCTTATAAAAATTATAGTACATGTACAAATAATTAAATTTAAAAAAATAAATGGATAAATTTCTAACCAAAAAAACAAACGAACAAAATCAAAACGATGATAGTTCCTCTGAATCGAGTGGCTGTGAAACAACTGAAGTTCTCAGAAAAAAAAGACGAACAACCGTACGACGATGTGATGAAAAATACTTGCGTTTTGGATTTATATGTGTCACAGTAAATGATCAACCTAAACCACAGTGTGTAATATGCTCACAAACTCTTTCAAATGAAGCAATGAAACCTGCAAAACTCCAAAGACATCTTAAAACTAATCACCCTGATTGCTCAGAAAAACCACTTGAATATTTTATACGTAAGAAGGAATGCATCTCAAAAGCAACAAAAGTCAACGAGAAAGCTTTAAGAGCATCATTCTTAGTGGCTATTCAAATTGCAAAAGCGAGAAAACCACACACAATTGCCGAGACTCTAATAATGCCTGCTGCTATAGATATGTGTCGAGAAATATTTGGCGAAGCCATAGCAAGTAAACTAAAAACAATTCCAGTTTCAAATGACACAATTCAACGACGTATTACTTTGGCAGCAGGTGATGTTAAAGAACAATTAATTTCCAGTCTACAAGATTGTAAAAAATTTGCAATTCAATTGGATGAATCGACAGATGTGTCTGGCCAGGCACAATTAATGGCTTATGTGAGATATATTTGGGTGGATGAAGTTGAAGAAGATTTGTTGTTTTGTAAAACTTGCCCGGGTCATACAACAAGCGCAGAACTTTTTGCAATCCTTGATAATTTCATGACATTCTATGGCATCGAATGGCAATGGTGTGTTGGAGTGTGCACTGATGGTGCAGCAGCAATGACAGGAAGACAAACTGGCTTGTGGGAACGTGTACGTGAAAATGTGCCAACTGCCAAATTTACTCACTGTATGATTCATAGGGAAAGTCTTGCATGTAAAAAAATGAGTGCCGAGTTAAAGTCTATTTTTAATCAGGCTATAAAAATTGTTAATTTCATCAAGACACGTCCACTGAATTCTCGCCTCTTTGCTGCCTTGTGTTTAGATATGGAGCTGGAACATGAACAGTTACTGATGTATACTGAAGTTCGCTGGTTATCGAGGGGGAAAGTTTTTAACAGACTCTATGAATTGCGTGATGCTTTGAAAAAGTTTCTTGAAAAAAAAAATCCCCAACTTGCAGCTTATTTGTAAAATAAAATTATTTTACCTTTTGCTTGAAAGACTCAAATGTAGATCATCTTCAACATCAAGTCGTGAACGATATTTTGTCTTAATTGAAACTAGTGCAGAGAATCCACATTCACAAGGATATGATGTCGCAAAAGGTATAATAATTTTAAAAGCTTGCTCGGACAGTTCTGGATATTCATGTGAAACTTGAATCCAAAACTTCATCAAGCTCACTGTTTTTTGGAAAATTTTCAATGTAGAATCACTGGTGAGGTCAATGAATTGGTTTAATTCTGATGTTGGCAGATTTAATGAATCAGCTTTTACAAAAAACGGACTGGATACCCACAAAAAATTCTGAATGTTTATATCACCAAAGTAGATGTGGAATTGATCCAGCAATGATTGAATATGTCCAGAAATTAAATTTATCAATTTTGTTTTATCAATCTCAGCATTTTCTGGTTTCTCAGTAAATTCGTGTAATTGATCAAACATGTCAAAGTTACCTTCCAATATTTTTGGCTTCCAAAGATCAAGTTTTCTAATAAAAGCCGATACTTTATCACTGAGCGTGATTAAGTTTGTCTGTTTCCCTTGCATAGATGAATTCAGTTTATTTAGCTGTTCAAAAATATCAGCCAAATAAGCCAGAGTAGCAACCCATGAATTGTCATTCAAATAAGCTGCAAGTTGGGGATTTTTTTTTTCAAGAAACTCTTTCAAAGCATCACGCAATTCATAGAGTCTGTTAAAAACTTTCCCCCTCGATAACCAGCAAACTTCAGTATACATCAGTAACTGTTCATGTTCCAGCTCCATATCTAAACACAAGGCAGCAAAGGCAGCAAAGAGGCGAAAATTCAGTGGACGTGTCTTGATGAAATTAACAATTTTTATAGCCTGATTAAAAATAGACTTTAACTCGGCACTCATTTTTTTTACATGCAAGACTTTCCCTATGAATCATACAGTGAGTAAATTTGGCAGTTGGCACATCATATCTTTGTGAATGTGGATTCTCTGCATTAGTTTCAATTAAGACAAAATATCGTTCAAAACACACAATTTTCAGTGGTGGTCCGCAACTGAGACAGGAACTTTATAAGTGGTCCACGTCACTGAAAAGGTTGAGAGCCGCTGTATTAATGTATATAAATCGTTAGATGGTGGTGTCGGGGTGGAGTAAGCAAAGCTGAGATCGCAATCTTTTTTTAAAGAGTTGCTTGTTTGTTATGTTATGAATGGCATGGGGCACAAATAATTTCTAAATTTTAGGGCCAGTTGTTTTTAAACTTGTAGAGATGAGTTAAAGGCGAGTTTTTACTGAGTTAAAGATAGTAAGTAGTGTGTCTAGCTTTGAGAGTTTGAACAGATTCACTGAGTATAAAAGTTGGGGAAAAAAATGAAGGAAGTAAATTATTTAAAAACTTGAAAACAAAAATAGCTGTAAAATAAACGTATAAACAACTAATCGACGAAATATTATGTTTTATAAAAAAAAGCTAGTAGGAGAGAAAGGGTTCAAGTTGAAGATTAAGCGTTTAGCTCTTTTTTGTGACAATATCGTACAATGAAGATGGATTTTTGGTGAGTTACCCCAAACGGTTATGCAGGTTACATGTACATGTATATATATATATATATATATATATATATATATATATATATATATATATATATATATATATATATATATATATATATATATATATATATATATATATATATATATATATATATATATATATATATATATATATATATATATATATATATATATATATATATATATATATATATATATATATATATATATATATATATATATATATTACAATATTCTATAAATTCTACCGAAACTGGCAAATAGGACGGCAAGTGGGGAACCCATAGCGACACCATCGATTTGCTTGTAAAGTTTGCCTGTGGGGCTGTGGAATTGTGCTTCGGTAGTGCAAATTTGAAGAAGGGACTTCAGTTATGCTTTCGGTATGCTCAATGGAACCATATCTGAGTGGTAAACGGTGTTGATAATTATGTCAATTGTATCATGAATTGGTACATTTGTGAATAATGATTCATCATCCAGAGAGGCAATAAATTTGGATGGTTTATTAATGCTGAGGAGATTAATAAACTCACGGGAAGATTGTAGTGTGTAATTGTTTGGAATATATGGGGTTAAAATTTTGTTCAAGAATTTTGCAACAGGGTATGTGACGGTTGTAATTTGGCCAATAATTGGTCGGATGGGATGATTATTCTTATGCGTTTTTGTATTCCCATATAAGTAGCCAGGAGAGTATTCGCCTATAAGTGATGGAAGTTTGTCGTCAGTGATGTGCTTTTTTTATTTTCTTAATTATTGTGTTTAGTTTAATTTTTAGTTGAGGAGTGGGATCTTTTTTGATTACTTGGAACTTTTTTGTATCTTTGAGAACATCATTGAGTTTTTCATGATAATCGGCTCGGCCAATAATGACATATTGTGCAGATTTATCTGCACGTCGTATTACGATATCTTTATTTTCCCTTAATTGTTTCGCCGCATCTTTCATCTCGTCAGTGAGTAGCTTGCTTTGAAAACTACCGTGTTGTTTCTTAGCTTCAGCTTGAAGCTCAATGGCAACAGAGGGGTTAACACTTATTTTACTTTGACGTTCAGCGTCGTTTATAGACATCATTAGCTTTTCAATCTCAATGATTTTCTCAATTTTGTTGGGTTTTTTAGATAGTGGCAGTTTAAACCCAAGTTTAAGAACGCTTTTTGCTTGTCTGTAAGTATGTGGTGGCTAAGATTGATGAATCTATCTTTCATAACATTTACTCGAAGTTCTGCGACCAACCGACTTAATCTAACAATCGAACAAGATCGCGAGCAGGGACTGCTCCATCTCTCTCGAGAATTAGAAGTTAAAAAGAATGTAGTTCGAGACTTGTCGAATCAGCTCACTAATTTGTTGAATCAATGGGATCATCGTGATGTTGATTGCAATGTCAAGAATGAACTAAGCCTATGCCAGAAGGAATTTATAAATGCATATATGCAGCATGAATTCGGATAATAAGTTTATTTTGATTTTTAATAAACTAAACGTTCTCCAAAAAACTTTAGTGACAAAAATCGAAAAAACGAACTACAAACATATTAACGCCAAACATTCGGTAGAATTTATAGAATATTGTAATATATGTATTTCACCAGAGGGCATAATCATAAATTATGTTCATGTATAGCCAGAAAAGATTGCAGAAAATATTACTTTTCAAATCGAGTGGTTAAACCATGGAGCGAGTTGCCGGAAGAAGTGGTGAACGCGCCTTCTGTAAATGCCTTCAAAGTGTTGTTAGATTCTTACTATGGTGACAGAGTGTTTGACATAGTTTGATTTTGTTGAATTTTAATTTTAATTTATCATTTGAACTATTTTTCGTTTTCGTTCACAGATTTGAAATTTTATGCTTATTTGAATGTCTTTTGTTAATAATTTAATTTGAACGTTTTTTACTAGATTAGGACTTTATCGATTCGGTTTGAACTTTGCTATGATTATTCTGAATTATTCGAGATCACGATCATTTTAACTGTTGGCAAGGGGTTCGCCCAAGCCGTTTTTCTTAAATAAATAAATATATATATATAAATAAATATATATATATATATATAAATATATATATATTATACATTATATAATATATATATATATATATATATAGATACAAAATATTTAGAATAAATAATATGCTGGTCAAAGACCAAATTCTTGACAATTGAAATAAATTTCACCGATTTATTAGTGTTTATCAGCTTAAATTCAAATTTTTCAATTTGCCTTAGTAAATTTATATCAACAAAATTAAGTAGGTTAAAAATTGAAACTTTATTTCTATTAACAAACGTTTCATTAAAGTTACTGCAGATGGATCAATTCGACGTTAAACCGTCATCGTCAGTGCATTATTTATTGATTCAGAATTATTACAAATAAATTTCAAAAGGGAACACAGAATTTTTATGAAAAATTTTAACAGCAAAAAACTTAAATAATTTTAATAAATATATATATATATATATATAATAATAATAATAATGGATATATACATGTATATATATATATATATATATATATATATATATATATATATTTTGTAAACAATTAAAGTTGCTGCTTTTTAAGCAGCATTTCGGTTCTTGTAATTAAATGTGATTATGAAAATGAAATTTTTTTTTTTTGTTTTTTTTTTATATTTTATGTTCTTTATTAGTCAGTACTATCATTATGTTGTTTTAATTCTTGTGTCGGTTAATAATTCGTTGTGAGGCTTGTTGATTATTGCGTTGAATTTTTGTACATAACTAGTAACCTGTGTCGATAAATCCTAAAAATCGTCATTTGAATTAGTATTACTTCTTTTTGGTCATCTATTTATTTATTGATTTTGTGTTAAATATATGTGTGTTCTGACATTTAACTGAGTGGCAATCAACTTTCTTTCTTTTGTCTTATTTATTTTTTCTTGCACTTATTGTAGGCGCTTTTGAGATTTTATTAAAAAGCGATTTATAAATTTTCATTTAATAATATATATATATATATATATATATATATTTATATATTACATAGAATAATAATGAAAAAATTCATCTGTTGAACAAACAACAAACGATTGATTAAGATTTTCACCGTCCTTAGCAGATTAAAATACATATATGAAAAAGTAACCGGTTAACAATTTCTTTTACAATTCTCACTTGCGTGTTTCTCGAATGTAGGTATCGACAACAACACGCAGCACGTATGAATGCGTGTGAATCCATGCATCACGCATTGCATGTAATGTAACAAGCGAAATTTTTAGCATTTGAACCTAATTATTTATAATTTGAATGAACGACTGTCTGGGCCCGGAAGATAATGATTAAAATAAAACCGAGGTTGTCATTCCTTTTTTGATCGCTGCAACTGCAGCTGCAGTTTCATGTACTTCAACCGCTACACCATTGAGCCGTTCAGATGTCATAGAATTCTAGCGAAAATTCTTAGTAATAAAGTTTAAAAACCTTGATATAGAATTACATTCTCAAAAAATAAATGATGGTTTAAAAAGATTAAAGGTCAGAAGAATCAACAACGCATGGTGGTAAACGATACACGACAAAAAATGTTATCGTCAGGTGGGGATCTTCTTGCCATACTCGAACCCACCCGTTCACTGCACGCACTGCGAAACAGGACCGGGTGTCTTTAACTAATGAGAAGAACACGAGTTCAGTCCAAAGTTTCATAAACTTGACGCATATTAAAAAGTGAGAAGAGAAAAAGTTGTTTGCGCTTGTTTTAAAAATCACACTGGTCGACCTTAAAGCGTCAAACGTCGTCATTACGTTCCACTACAATCACTTTGAACATCCTCTTGCAATTCATAACTGTATGACATCATCCGTAAACAAAATCGAAATGCACAAAACTTTTTAAACGAATGATAGGGGCTGGTCATCATGAGCGAAGGACCCGCCATGTGATACGTCCATGCTCCAAAGAGGCCAACAGTCGTTTCATAAATTGCTTTGCATTCACATTTTGTTGAATTTTGTTTAAGCTCTCTATAAGTTTTATTAATTTATCTAGAAATCAAATGAAACAACTTGTACAGAAGTACAGAGCTGTTAAATACTGATCATTGTTAAAATTTATCGATTTCGTGCTAAACGAGTCCCATTACGTTTGTAAACAAAAATGAAATGTTTTCCAGTTTTGGAAGGTCGTCAAATAACTATTTTTCAACTGAAACAGTGAGATGGTTCGATGGTCATGGACGCCTGTCTGGTCCCACGTTTCAATGACTGCGCTCAATTGCAAAAAAATCTCTGTTTATTAATTATATCGAATGTTTAGAATGACATTCGTTGTGTGTGATACTTCTGAATAATGCAATAAGAAAAAGTAACAACTTTTAGAATACATGAAGATGAACTACTCTGCGAATTTAATGGCTGAAATTGTAGAGACAAGCTTAAATTAGAATCTACCTCTAGCGTTAACATTTCCACATTTTATTTTGAGGCTAGGTTACCTCGTTGTAATGCTGTCTTTACAAAATTCAATTTTTTTAATGAAATATTGTGCAAAATTTCATGAAAACTTACAAACGGCGCTGAAACAAAAAAAAACTACGTGTTGTTTAACAGCGTAACGTTTTAACGAGTGCATGTTCAGTGCATCGGCAGGTAGACTTTCGATTTCTCATTAGAAAGATCAGTTTTTCTTTAATTTTTAAAAATTTGTTTTTTACTGTCTTTGTTTTTTGAAGCATGTTTCTTCTTTCTAATTAACTGCATTTGATGTTTTTTGTTTGAAGTTAGAAGCATATCAGATTAACGTTAATTAGGTAAAATAATAACCTTCATAATCATAAATGACTTTTTTATATTTACTTTCTACCATGAAAAGGAAAATGCATTTATTATGAAATATTCTTACTTATGTTATTTGATCTTTTTTAGTTAATGGCAACACTGAAAACAAGTTTCTGAAATGGGCAAATCTTTGAAAGTAAGAAACCACTACCTACATCACAATCGTTTTTTCAACTCGTCATTGAGAGATGCATAAAAAATTCCAAACTTTTGAGCGTTTAGCTTTATCTGATTGCGAGTTGAAGCCTTAAATACAAGTGGATCTTTTTGAAACATGCTGTTATAACCGCTGGAATCACTAAATTGCGTTATAAAATTTGTTATCTTAATTATTGCCATTTTTGCTATATTTTTAACTTTTGGATTGTAAACCATAGAGGATTGTAAAGAGATATCGAATATTCTTATTGTAAAAATCTACCTAGTGGCTATATAAAGTCAGGCAGACAGGTCTTTGAAGCGAAGTTGTAATTGTGATTTATGTAGCTACAAGTGTTTCTATTATTATTGTTGATATTCAAATAAACGTTCAACAAAGTTTGCGTTTGAAGCAGTTGTGTTTATCTATCGAAAATTTTTAACCTTCGGAATAACGATCACTTGACGACCGTTGAAAGCTACAACACTGATGTTGAAAATATAGAGATCTTTAAAGTTATAACATTGGCGTTTGGTAGTAACGAGCGTTAAAAATTACAACAGAAGTAACATTTTTGATAGCTTGAAATATTTTTTGCAATAAAGTATGCCTGCAATAAAAGAACTCGATATAATTAATCTCAGGAAGGAACTACGTAAACGTAACCTCGACTCGAAGAGTTTAATTTGCCGGATCCTGTGGAACAATAGCTTGCTGAAATGAATAGAAGATTTGATCAACAAAACAACAAGATTGATGAACAGGCAACCGAATAAAAAAAATGTTAGTCACGATGAAATCACAGGTAACTGAAATTTTAGAAAGACTAAAAAGGCTAACAACAAGATATAACAACAATCAATAAACTTTAAGACGTAATTAAAAGAAGAAATTGATAAAATGGACAAGAAGCTGAACCAGAAAATAGACCAGAAAACGGACGAATCAAACGAAAAAATTGACGAATTGGTACAAAAGCCCCGGCAAGAAATAGAAAGCATTACCCGTGAAATAAAAACAAAAGAAAGAAGCACCATACATAGGTACGTTCCCACCAAGTCAATAAAAGTAACAACATTTGACAGTGCCACGCTCTGAGAGAGCTATCAGACTCAGTTTGATGCAGCAGCACCCAACTACGAGTAGAGCGCAAGAGAACAAGCGGCAGCATTGGTGTTAGCACTAAGAAGCTCCGCTTTAGAGGTATTACAGTCTCTTTCTGCCAAGGACCATGACAACTTCAAGATTTTAACTGACGCGTTAGACCGACGCTATGGAAAAAAATATACGGAAGACCTCTACTTAACATAGCTCGACCACCGTATGTAGAAACAAATGGAAACTGTTGAACAACTAGCACAAGACATAGAGAGACTGACCCTGCTAGCGCACCCAACAGGTACTTTAGAATTCATGGACAGAACGGCAACAAAAGCGTTTATTTAAGTTCTACAAATTCAGATATGAGATATGACTTCACAATATAAAAAATAAAAGCACTTAAAGAAGTTCTGGAGCAGTATAGACACTGGAATCAGCAAAACTGATGTTGAAGAAAGAATACAGTAAATTCACGAAGAGAATGAGTGTCGGAGGATTGTTTCAACAATGGGAGACTACAAACCACTGTAGTCTCTTACAGCGGTTTGTAGTCTGGAACTGGGAAAAAAGGGCATATCAGGAAATATTGTAAGAAACCCCAGAAAAGTCACGCTATTGAGGGAACAATACGGAAAAAACCAAGATTCAAAGAGTTGCCAGCCCCAAGTTTGGAACGTCTGCAGCTAACAGGTCGAAAAAAGTAGTAAAAGCCAACTTTGCAGAGCTCAGGTTAGCTGGGAGAACAAAGATGCATCGTGACCGAGGTGACCTTTGGGTGGAAGGAAAAATAGATGTACGGAAAAGAGTAAAATACGGTACGACCTCAAAAGCGGTAGCTCAGTGTTTTACAAAAATGACTTCATCTAACCGTACAACCCACGGCGTTGCCCAAAACTTCAAAAAAATTGAGAAGGTGCGATCAAGAAAAAAATGGACAAAGATAAAAGTTGTCCACTTGAATAGATTATCCCCTATTCATCAGAATAAAGAAATAACGCCTATTAGTATTATTAGTCTTAGTATTAATATACGCTTTTTTAAATTGTTATCTCAAAAGCGTTAGGGATCCATGTCTATGTTAGGGACTAACAGGCTAAGATTGGGGTAATGTTATAACCATTGAAATGATCAAATTGCGCTATATTATTTATTAACATAATTATTGTTATCTTTGCTACATTTGTAATTTGTAATCTTTAGATTGTAAGCCATAGAGGATTGTAAAAAGATATCGAATTTTTTGATTGTAAAAATCTACCATAAAGGCTATATAAGGAGAGCGAGGAGACAGACAGGTTTCCGAAAGAGGTTTCCAGCAAAGGTTGGAAGCGAAGTTGTAATTGTGATCTATGTAGTTACCTAGATTAGTTATTACTGTTGGCATTCAAATAAAAGTTCAACAAACTTTGCGTTTGAAGCAGATGTGTTCACCTATCGGAAATCTTGAACCTACTGAATAACGAACCTTTGACGATCGTTGAAAGCTACAACTCTGGTGTTTGAAATATAGAGATATTTGAAGTTATAACATTGGTGTTAGTAGTAACGAACTTTAAAGGTTACAACAATACAGAAGAAATAGGAGCAAGCACTGGTTTGGCTAGATAAATTCAAGTTGTGTTTGTATTGTGTCTCTATTGTTTATTATTGCATTTAAAGTAGATAGATCGGGTTTAAAATTTATGTGCTAATATTTGTGTAGTTATGTGAGCTTCTTTGTTACAAAAAATATAAATCTAATAAATAAGAAATATTAATCCCTTCAAAAGTAAAGCCTGCAAAATTAACATAAAAATATTTCGTACAGCATTATTCGATTTAAAACTGGCTTCTCAGGTGAATTAATGCAAAATATTATTAACAAATTGAAATTTTCAAGTTATTTCTAATAAAAATTATCTATTCCTTGTCTACGGCTGTTGTTTTATTAACATTATCTCCGCTGTTAAGAGATTGGTGCAATGATTACTTATAATAATTTTCTTTTCACAAATCAATAATATTGATATCATATTTTAATTTTTAAAACAAACGTTTTGAAGAAATGTGAATAATTTTTTAAAAAGATTAAAAAAATCAACGATTAGAAAAATTTTCAAGTTTTTTGAGCCATGCTGAAAATCAGTTTGTAGAACTGCGCATGATAACAATAAACAATTTGATCAGTTTCAAGCATAACCAGCATCAAGAAAGCTCCAGCCAGTGTTGCTGACAATTAGATTGCTCTGTGCATACCCAACCACGTGTTTGTTCAGTTCGCAGACTGCCTTGTTTAGCTGATAGTTAACAGAGTCACATCTGTCGATGATGCATCTCATCAAACATTTCGAAATGGAACTTTCAGATACCGTTTTAAAAGTATATCCAGTCAATCGATAATTCAAATAACTTTTCCAAACCTTGGCTATAATTAATAATAATACATTTTCAGCAATTTATTAAAAAACTTAAAAACTTTACAGTTTGGGTCTTTAGCAGCATAAACTTCGATCTCACAGATGGTGAACAGTCCTGGTCCATTGGCCGGTTGTTGGGCGATGACGTATCGATGAGATCCGAGGTTGGCGTTGCATTTCACTGAATGTTTGGCACTGACAGCTACTTCGAACTTATACTGACCACACAGAGGGTAGGTACCTCTGATGATGTTTGCGCCTGAAAATACGCTGTCTACCGAACTGAGTCCAATTAGAAAGTAACTCATTCGTTCAGCTGTTATAAAAATCCAAAAATTTCAAGTAAAAATTTGAATTTTTACATGTTTTTTTTGTTTAAAAAACTATGAATTATAAAACTGAACATACGAGCGCCATCTCTACTAAACAAATCGACGTGATCCACGTAATAATATTTCTGAAGGTTGACGACGAGCCAATTGGGACCCCCGGGAGAATCACCTCCGTGGAAACAATGCCAATGTAAAAACTCGGGATCTGAGTCTCCATCAACAGCTAAATTGGGAACAGGAGACTCGAGAGTTACGCTGTACACTGAACTGCTTAGTGCAGGCTTTTTGAGAGCCAAATTTTGAGAAGATGAATTCTTGAGATACGCCACAGTTGATACTGAAAATTTTTAAAGTTGCTTTTTGTTAATGGAAATAAAATTTTTCAAAAATGCAAAAAATTTTATCTTACAGAAAATTAAAATAGTAAAGGACGGACAATTGGATTTCTTCAACATTCCAATAAATTAAAAATGGAATACAATAATAAAACATAATACAACAAATTCAAATTTTTTGTCGGTCGTTTGTAAATATATATATATATATATATATATATATATGTATATATGTATATATGTATATATATATATATATGGAATGAGACCATATTTTATACTGTTTTTATATATATATATATATATATATTTTATTTTAGACCATATTTTATACAGTATATATATACTTTATAAAGTATGATCTCCTTCCAATATATATATATATATATAAGGAACGAATTTTAAATATATATATATATATATATGTGTGTGATTTTTATTAATAATTTTTACAATATTTTATAAATTCTACCGAATACATTCCTTTTAACTTCTAATTCTCAAGAGAGACAAAGCAGTCGTTGCTCGCGATCTTGTTCGATTGTTAGATTAAGTCGGTTTGTCGCAGAACATCGGTAGAATTTATAGTATATTGTTAAAATATATATATATATGTGTGTATGTGTGTTTTTTGTGTGTTTGTGTGTGCGTGTTGTGTGTGTGTGCGTGTGTGTGTGTGTGTGTGGGTGGGTGTGTGTGTGTGTGTGTGTGTGTGTGTGTGTGTGTGTGTGTGTGTG